CCCTGAGTGAGCTGTCATCAGTCCGCCATTGTTTCACCGCCGGAGCAGATGCAGACAAGAATGACTCCTAAGCGATTGAGGTGGTCTGACATCTGAGCCACTGAAGACGCAGTGGATTACGTTTGTTTCTGAAGGGAATGCGCCCCCGATCTACATAAATGCATCTATGTTCGCGCAAATCATTCATGATCCAGCCTCATCTACAGAAGAAGTGAGTATAATGTTTTGTAATGAATCTTTGCAAATCGCCTTTCCATGCTAATGTGCTAATTAGCAAGTTTCGCGATGAATGCGGCTAAAGTAAACAGTCTCTCTGAAAGCTGCTCGGAAGAGAGGGGCGGGGTCAGCAGAGCTCATTAACATTTAAAGGGAAATGCTACAAAAACGGCTTGATCTGAAAAGAGCTGTTTTTGACAGGGTAAAAAAACAGGGTGTTTTTACATTTACATTGAGAAATTTTAACCAAACTATGTAACAGGCTTTTCATTAAGACCCCAAAGAATCATATCAACTTGTGGAAAATGGGCATCCTATGACCCCTTTAATATTATTTGCAGGTTTGGTCCTCCATATATGCGAGTATAGTGCAATGTAGTACATTTTTAGGCTGGGCGTTTATGATAAATGTTTATAATGAACTTAACTATAAATACTTATATTTTTCATTCCTGTCCTGAACAGAGGTTTAAGTGATAGTTCACCCAAAACTGAAATTTTTTTAACTTTTGTGATCATTTACTCACCCTTGTTCACAACCGGTTTGTATTTCTTTCTTCTGCTGAACACAAAATATTTTGAAGCCACTGACACTTAGCCATTGACTTCCATAGTATTTTTTTCCCATACTGTGGAAGTCAATGGCCACCAGCTACTGTTTGGTTACCAACATTCTTCAGAATATCTTCTTTTGTGCTCAACAGAAGAAAGAAACTCACACAGGTTTGGAGCAACTTGAATTATTACCCGTATTTTACATTATTTCTGATTGTAATATTCAAATCCGAGTTACACACCAGTACGGCTTATCTATGCATTTTTTCTTTCAACAATGCAGTGCGACTTATTTTCCGGAAAATATGGTAATAGTGAAAAACTGTGATTGCAGGTGCAGAACACATGTACCTGAATGACAGGAAGTGATGAATGTTTTTTCTCCAGTCTCTTCACATAAGCAGCCAGCTCCAGCGCCTCCTCATAGTATCCGTTACGCACAGACGTGTCCATCAGCTGAGGGATCTCCAGAATCTCCAAGATCTCAGTGTGTCGATTCAGTGTCAGGCTGTTCATACGCCTGCTGACGCTGATCTCCTCTGCCTCCTTAATAAAACCTCTGCAAAGAAATGACAAAACAGCAACCAGTTACTTACAGCATTTCTGAACATGTTTTATAATGAGTACTGCACTGTAATACGTTTGCTTGGATTATGTTGCAATGCATTTTTTCTCATTGGACTATTACAAAAATTTAAATGATGATAACTTTCATTAATAAGCCATTAATTAACAGTATATAATGCGTAGCATTTATGTACACTACCGTTTTTGTTGTTTTTGAAAAAAACATATACATATAAAAAGTATACTTTTTTCCAGCAAGGATGCATTAAATTGATAAAATGTTACAAAGACATTATTATCATTACAAAAGACTTCTATTTCAAATAAATGCTGTTCATTTAAACTTTAAATAAAATAATCCTGAAAAAAAAGTATTAGTTTTCACAAAAATATGAAGCAGCACAACTGTTTTTATCTTTGATAATAAGAAATGATAAGCAGCAAATCAGCATATTATACTGATTTCTGAAGGATCATGTGACACTGAAGACTGGAGGAATGATGCTGGAAATTCAGCTTTGCATCACAGGAATAAATTATATTTTAAAATATATTACAACAGAAAATAGTTACTTTAAATGGTAATAATATTACATAATTTTACTGTAATTTTGATCAAATAAATACAGTCTTGCTGGACACTTGAGTCTTTTTTCAAAACTATTTTTAAAATCTTACCAACCCCCAAAAATTGAACAGCAGTGTACATTCATACGAAAACAGATCAAATATGGATATATTTTCAGACTATTTTAAAGTACATTATGATCTTTTAAGCACTGGGTTTAAACGTATGTTTCTTGAAGAAATAATACATTTAAAAAATATGAAAACATTTGAAGTTATCACACGGTTACCAAATCTGTCTATATCAGAATCAAAACTATCCATCTGCAATGTGCAATTCATTCATTAATGATCAGTTAACACGTTATACAAGTTTAATACATATTAATAAATCAAAAATTATAACTTTTAAGTTATAACAGCTACTAATGTTGTCCATTCACGCAATCAAAAAATAAATTACAACGAATTCAGTAAGAGAAAAACAAACAAATCAATAAACAACCTGTCAAACTAATTAGTAATGTCTGCAGTGTTGCCAAGTCCGCGGTTTTCCCGCGGAATTGGGCGGCATTAACACTGTTGCCGCGGGTTGAAGCGACACCAATAACGTGATGTTTATCTCCTGGAATGCGAATTTTTCCAGAGGAACCACGCCAAAACAAACGTGTATTTTACCCCCAGGAACGCAATTTTTTACCGGGGGAGTTACCACGAAAAACGCGGATTTGTTGTGAAAACCTGGCAACCCTGTCTGTCACTCTAGCGTTACTTCCTCCGTTATTTTCTACACAGACAGAGTGAAGCACAGACCCGCATCTCTCAGTGAAGCTGGGGAGTTTGTGCAGTAGTTTAGAGAGGCAGTTCTCCACCGTGCTGAAGTCAGTGTAGATGTGCTGCGTGCAGTCCGCGGTCCTGATGAACGTCTTGTAGTTGGTGAAGGCCAGTTCTCGGGTCTGCTGCAGGATCTGCGCCCGCTGCTCCGCCAGACGCTCCGGCTCCCGGTTCAACTCATCCACACCGCACGAGCTCAGCTGCGACAAATACGCCGCGAAGTCCGGGTTCTCGCTCCAGTTCTCAGGAAAGCTGTCTTTGAAGATCGAGGCCAGGATACTCTCATCTTCCACGTCTACGGCAGCCATGATGGAAAGTGTTGATCAAAACCCTACGCCAAGCTTTATTTAAACGGCAAGACGTCACTAGTGTGCGACGGACTGAACCCACGTGGCCTGTGCACTGCGCGAGCTGCGGTGTTTGTTTGAGTTTCTTTAGCAAGAATATACTTATTATTTTCATCATGCGTCCGTTAACAGACGAAGAGATAAAAACGATGTTTGAGAAACTCTCTAAATAGTAAGTGACATGTTTCGGCAAGACTTAATTAGAGCAGGAATTAGTATTGTGTCATCATGTCGTGTAAAAAACATAAGCTAAACTATTATGCATTCTTAAAATGCATAGTTTATTTATTTTTACTGTGATTTGTATTATATTTGGCAATACTTACATTGATATGATTTGCATGGTTTTGTAATATTATTTACAGCTCGTATTTATATAAGTATTTTAAGTATTGTGTATGCGTGTTGCATAATATAGCCCAAGATTATTTTAAATGATGACTAACGATTAATCGCGATTAATCGCATTAATAGTCAAACGATTAATCGCGATTAATCGCATCCAAAATAAAAGTTTTTATTTACATAATGTGTGTATACTGTGTACAGTAATTATGTATATATAAATACAAACACATGCATGTATATATTTAAGAAAAATGTTACGTTTATATATAATTATAAATGTATATACATGTAAATATTTTCAAAATATATACTGTATGTATATATACATAATTAATACACACAGTACATGTACACATATTATGTAAACAAAACCGTTTTAATCACGATTAATCGTTTGACAGCGCTATTTAATACCACTTGCATTAAGTACGCCCAATTTTTGTGTTTCTAGCATTGGGGAGAATATCAAACTTCTTATTGATCGGCCTGATGGGACTTACTGCTTCAGACTTCATAATGATCGGGTATATTATATGAGGTAAGGTTGTCTGCTATCTTTGTTATTTAACATTGTGACAGTAAATATGGTCTCCATAAACATTTCCTGTGGAAGTTTCCTATTCACTTGTAATAGCCAAACAATTGATATGTTGGACTGAAAAAAAAGATTTATGTTTTAATTGAATGTACCTGCTACAAATTAATTTATTAATCAATATGTAATCAACAATTAGGGGTACACTATTTTTATTTAGTCATTTATTAGGCACTTTTATGCAAAGCGACTTACAAATGAGGACAACAGAAGCAATCAATTGTAGTATTAAAACAACTAAAAACAGATCCAAAACTAAAAGCTTATAAATACTACCTATACACATTTTAAACAATACAGTTTTTAATCATTTTAGCAAGAAGCCTTTAGATCAATGTTTTTTAAGATCATGACAAATTCAATCAAGTCACCTTGGACACAATCAAGTATGTCCAAACTTTTGACTGGCTATGTGAATATAGTATATCCTATTTCATAATGTAACGTGCCTCGTGTATGCCGCTGTAGTTTAAGGTGTGGGTGAAGCCGGGATCAGAGCAGTCATTCCTGTACGGAAACCACATCATGAAGTCCGGCCTGGGGAGAATCACAGAAAACACAGCGCAGTACCAAGGAGTGGTGGTGTATTCAATGGCAGATGTACCGCTGGTGAGACATTTTTGTTTAAAAATTCTCAAGGTGGAACAACAGTTGTCATGTTAAATAAATAGTTCACTAAAAAATGAAAATTTGCTGAAAATGCATTCCCTTTCAGGGCATCCAAGATGTAGAAGAGTTTGTTTGTTCATCAGAACAAATTTGGAGAAATGTAGCATAGCATTCCATCACTTGCTCACCAATGGATGCTCTGCAGTGAATGGGTGCCGTCAGAATGAGAGTCCAAACAGCTGATAAAAACATCACAAGTATTCCACACCACTCCAGTCCATCAGTTAACGTCTTGTGAAGAGAAAAGCTGCATGTTTGTAATAAAAACATTAAAAAAATATATTACAGATACACAGGTTTTCACTTCACAAGATGTTAACTGATGGACTGGAGTGGTGTGGATTACTTGTGATGTTTTTATCAGCTGTTTGGACTCTCATTCTGACGGCACCCATTCACTG